ATCGGGCTGTTTGCAAGTTTGTGATGTGTTCTGTGTATCCACAATCCTTTGGCTGCAGTGACTGAGTCAGTGCAGTGTGTGTGTGCAGTGAGTGAACTCAAAGCGAACGTAGAGAGAACAAAGGTGCAGGGCACTGCATATGGCAGGGGTCTCAAACGCACGGCACGCGGGCCGCACGCACATGACACTCATCATCCGATATTTCTTTTATGACTTTCTGACTGTTCGCAAGAATGATGCTCGCATTATTTTCTCACCTGTCGTGATTAATAACGCTTTGTACTGCTATACAGACGTGACTTGGGCGTTTTTGTCGTGAGGCATCTCATGCGAATACTCTTGTGTGTTGAGGATCGGAGTCCAGATTGTATACATTGTGTAAATCTTGTTTTTTATAAATGACCCTTATACGGGATACGGTATTCAAACGGCAACGTTTGAGAAAACCTTGCTCATCCCCCCCTCCCCCATTTGCTATCTTATATCACTCTGCCGACCCTTTGAGAGACTGCATTTCGTGACTGCGGCCCGGCAGCTGATGTGAGTTTGGGACCTCTGCTCTGTAGTTTGGCTCAACAGGGCACCAGCACTCAATAATAGCTTGTTCGTGCTTTGACACACGAAGCAGTGTTGTCATACATATTCCCTTAATAATGTGTGTGTGCGTGCGCGTGTGTGTGGTGTGTGTGTGCGTGCGTGTGTGCGCGTGTGTGCATGTGTGTGTGTGTGTTGATTGATGATTGATATGTGGGGTTTAACGTCCCAAAACCACCATATGATTATGAGAGATGCCGTAGTGGAGGACTCCGGAAATTTCGACCACCTGGGGTTCTTTAACGTGCACCCAAATCTGAGCACACGGGCCTACAACATTTCCGCCTCCATTGGAAATGCAGCCGCCGCAGCCGGGATTCGATCCCGCGACCTGCGGGTCAGCAGCCGAGTACCTTAGCCACTAGACCACCGTGGCGGGGCGTGTGTCTGTGTGTGTGTGCGAGTCTACGTGCGTGCAGATACCACCAAGGGCCCCTCAACGTTTTTTTTTCTTTTTGAGCCGAGCGCTACAATGTGAATTGATATCTGTGTGTACCTTGAACGAGGCATGCCGAATAAACACTGGCGTCTGAATGGTAGCTGATGGTTCGACGTAACGACAGCCTTCACGGTAGAGGGCAGTGGTCAGTTTTATCGAAACAATGTACACGCCACAGTATACCCTAATATGATTTGCATGTCTGTAGTAGGTGTGTTCTTCCAGGGTCGAGCAACGCTAGACTGTATATCTATAGCTTTCTGAGTCATAGGAGTGCACAAGTAACGGTTATTACGTTGTTATAAAAGCTGATATTCAGCACTGTAACCCCCTTTGCCGTTACCCCGTCGTAACGCATGCATACATATGGTCTTTTTCGGAAGGAGTTTCAAGCACTGGCATGACTCTGTTTTTAGAAAAGTCAATTGTCCTGCAGGTACCTGAGTCGATTCGTGGTGTTTGTTCTTCGCATTTTTGACTCACCAACTACGCCGTTGGTAAAGGCACAGGATTCTCTGCGCGACAACGGGTGGTTTCGCGTTCAGATTTACAGTGCTTATTTGTGAAACCTTTGTTCATAGGGTAGGGTGGGGTGAAATGCGACAAATATTTTAAGACAACGAATATTTATTTTGAATTCACTTCTAACGACTTTACATCAGCGCAGAAACTTTCCTTTGGGTACAAGGTATATCTGTATGCTACATAACATTCAAAACATTTTTTAAAAATAAAAAAAATTGCTCCATATGTCTCATTTTGCCCCAGCCTGTGGGCCAAAACGATTCGCTGCGTGGGGCGAAATGAGTCAGTGTGAAAAAAATCCAATCCTTCAGTTTGTTGTTTGTTTTTGCTGTAGAAAGACTTGAAATTTCCTTTGTGGGCGCTTACGCAGGCCCAGTATACTTGAACTCCGCGCATTCAATCTAGACAGAACGCGGTGTTGTATCGATCCAAAACTCCTTGCAGATCAAAGCCGCTGGTTTTTCTTTGTGCGAATGTTGTCTTTTGTAGAACGCTTGAACCTCCTTAGATTATTCAATATAGAGATGTCTCGACCTATATTCTTCACCTCGATTCGCCGTTTAGATGCAGAAATGCTCAGGCGTTTCATGGCTTTTAACTTCGTCCACCGGGCTTTGTGAGGCAATGAATTGAAAACAGTGCTGGAGTCAGATTTTTTAGTGCTTTTTTTTCCATTATGGTATTGGAAAACGTCGTTTAAACACAATCCCAAAACGTGTTTGCGACTAACTTGACTTGGAGATTCAGCCATTTTTTTTATGCGTCTCTTGGGAGCATCCTTGGAAACACGGGAAAACCTCGATGCAGCGAGATAGGGGGGGGGGGGGGGGGGGGGGGAGTCATGTTTTGAACGGCAATCAGTGCTTTTTCATGTCGGTTTCCTCCCAGGAAGCTCTAGATTGCCACATTCCTTCCTCATGCTTTCTTATGGACCCGTTACACCGTAAGTAATGTTCAGCGCTCAGCGCTCACCACGCCTTAAGAAGCTTCGGAACTGTAGTAGATAATTTTGTTAAGATTACGCAAGCAACGCGAACATTGCAGATTATCCCGGAACTTACGTGGCGGCTAGCGATAACGCTCGAATATTCAAGAACACGTGTATAAATGCCGTCCCGCTTCACCGCGTGTCAGTTGATCGACGGCCGATGATCTCTTCGCCACTTTCAGTGCCAGTGCGCATCGCTGTAATATGACTTTCTGTTTTCCGCCCACATGTTCGGCCAGATAAACAGTTTCATTTCGACAAGTCGTCTCTACCTTTGTCTGCGTCAAGACAACGTGACAATATGATATTGTCTTGTATGTCCGAATCCTCCTAAAGAAATATAGTATACAATGAATGTAAGTTGGTGGTTCAATTAATAAGACAATCTATATAGAGCAACTGGACGCGTTTTTTGTCGCGTTTTACCCCTCTCGCATGACAGAATTCGAAAAAAATTCTGCTTTGGCCCCGGCCACCAAACGAACTAAACCATTGGTGTTATGTAGCTCGTAATCTGAAGCAACGAAATAAATAGTTACGCTGCTATACCAGCGCCGCAGTAGCTTCATGCAGGAATCCGAAAATTCGGCCGAGCAGAGTTTCACCCCTTTATTACAGGTCCCGAACACACTGATACCAGCCGCGTAATTTTTTCCGTGCAAACGCTGTGAACACTCATCAATTTTTACACTTGAAAAAGTGGACAAGGACCATGCAGCACTTATCGCTGGAAAAGAGAAACAAAGAAAAGTAGTTTTTGTTCTAGCTACAGAGGTTGGTAAAGTCAAAATGTCGCATTTTACCTTACCCTATACCCGATATAGTGAATGACATATACCTATTCGAGGTTCTGTGAGAGTCGATGTAGCAGGTGGCACACACCCTCCAACGCCCTCTTAGAAGGATGTTAAAGTATAAGAATACCCTAACCCCCTAAGATTTATTTAGCTAGACACCCTTCATGTAGGGTGTGCAGCTAACACCCTTTCACAATGGTATATCCGAAAACACTCATGGGGTGTCCCTGTGGCAACTAGTCAGTTTACATCCGTAAGGGTTTAAAATATTTACTGTGTGTGGCGCGTAAACGGACGAACGGGTAGGTGGATGGATGGTTGGATTGCGGCGCCACAAATATTTCGTTAAGCAATGCACGAACTCACCCGACATAAAACTTAGGTAAAGTAAATGGGCCGGTTTAAAGTTGTTCGCAGGGTGTATATAGATTGCACATTTTCACTTTCTTTTTGTCATTTTCTCGCATTTACAGGGGTGCTAAAATTTTCCCAGGTCGCTATTTCATGTATTCTGTGGGGGTGCTGACACCCCCTGTAAAGTACTGCGCGCCGCGTGGCGCACGTGTCTCGCGCAGACGCCACATTTTGTGGTCACAACTATTCAGGGGTAGGTGGCGTTGTGTTCGCGAGCGTTAATCACCACTATCATCATCATGGTTAGATTGGTAGCACCGGCGGTGACCTCTGGCGGCAAGCCTTGGTGGGGCACGAAAGAGTTGAGTGAGTCTCTCTTTTGCGCATGGCGTTTGGCGCGAATCGTTGTCTCTCGCCATAGAGTTTCCCAAAATTAACTAGAAAGCACTCTGGCGCTGCGATCGTTCAGCGACCATGGGAATGATGGGCAGTACACACATTTGCCTAGTCTTCGTACTTGCGGACGGCGAATCGTACTTGCGGCTTCGTTTATTGCTGGTTCTGGTTTTGTTTTGAAAGAAAGAACGAACCCTTTTGAACTTAGTGACTTGATTCGAAATGGTAAGCCTAAAAGAATAAGGTTGTGAAGCGCAAACGGTGAACATTTGCTAATTTATGTTTTCGTGAAAAAAACAGCTCCAAGCCACATGAACACACACGAAGCCAAAAGCAGGCCAGAAATACGAAGTTTAGACAAATGTGTGTACTACCCATCATTCCAATGCTCGCTGAAGCGCCGTGTGTTGCAGCTCCCATAAACACTAGCGCCAGAGTTCCCTCTAGTGTATATCAAGAAACTCTATGCTGAACGCAGTGTGTCCCCGGTGCACGGCACCACGGGCTGTCTGCTGGGGGCCCTCGTGGTGAGTAAGGCATCGGCGACGCCGCCTTGTGTTTGTTATGCTGTTGAGTATTGCGTGAATATGTGTGAGATTGTTTTAGCGTGTTTGAGCACAATTGATGTATAATTATTCGGCTGACGATATCGTCGTTTCTAAAAGCAGTTAAATAAGTAAATGTGTGTTTGGTTGGTTACGACCGCGTCTGCTGCGTCCGTTCACTTTAAGAGCGTGGCGCTCGCTCTTGGAGACCCCAGAAATGCTACGGCAGCGCGGCTTGAGTACTTACGACCAGCCCTGCACGTAGCATGCAAACAACAGGCATACCGGATACTTGTATTGATGACAAGCCAATGCACAAAAGATCTGTGCAAAACTTAAGTGCGGTAGAGGACAGCTCTCACCTCGCACAGCTTGTTGCAGTAGTGTGCCACACGACACCGGGCGCAGGGCTTGAGGCTCTCACTCCTGCAATATGTGATTGATGTGATGCAATAAACAAGGCTTAGCCATGAATTCAGCAGACAACAAGTGATGCGTCATCTCTAGCGCTTTTACCGTGAAATCGGGACAAAGGTCACATCCATAACAATTGCAGAGATTGGCGAACGGGGAAATCGAGCTTCGAAGCGCGTTCGCAGCGAATAGCGGCTTGGTTGAATAATTTTGAGTTCTGCATGTATGTCATGACCCAACTAAATTGCACAATATGTTTAAGAACCGAAACTAATGCGTGAATGTCACCTTTTTTAGTTTCATGTGAAGTGTAAACAACTCTAAACAGTAGCGAGATTTGAATATCAGTAAGGTGCAAGTTATAATCTTAGTAATGTATCAAGTTTACTATACCCAGCGTATACATGTCTCTATAACACGCTTCTACACTAAACAGATATTAACCGAGGGCAAGGCAGCATGCACTACAATTAACCTTAACAAGTGGCTGTGTGTATTTGCCCTGGATGCGTAATTTCACGGTATATCAGTCCTACGTTGCAGTGAAATTTCTTTAGCAGGGGGTTACATGCTGTAGAATATACGTTTATTCGTTAATTTGCGATACTTGAAAATTTTGAATAATCTAAATTAGTCGAGTCGAAGCGAATTCTAATAATGCAATATTCGTTTGAATGTTCGAAGCGCTGAAATATTCGCCCATGACTAGTTAATATACTTTCAGAAGCTTTAGATTCCAACGCGGATTGTAGCAATAACTGTTGAGCAGAGAAAGTAAACAATAAAGAAGTTTATGGTGTAAGCAAAAAAATCGTTATAAAAGTATAAAGATGTGGTTTTTAATGACAAAACAGACGGACAAAAAGCGATGGATATGACGAGCACTGCGACAGATCTATACAAACTGCTATTTTTTTGTGTATGGTAGCAAGTTCAGCAAATTCGTGGCTGATCATCACATAACCCATGTGTGGAGCAGTTCATGGAACACAAGAACAGTACACAAACCACTTTGCGATTGAATTGATAGAGCGATGCACGCACAACGAAGAAACGGCCGAGCCGGCCAAACTCAAAAACAGAGCGCTGTGTCCTTTCGTTTGGCCGGTTTGCTAGTTTATTCCTTTTGCTTGATCACCTATATCAGTTCAAGCACGACAAAGCAAGTCGCCCAGTCAATACTTGTCGATGTTGCGTGTGTATTGGTTGCTTGAGCTTTGCAATAGAACTGAAAGTTTGGCGAGTTGGTTACTTTTCATGGAGAAACTGCAGCGCGCGAAAAACACGTACATAGAGAAGTGGACAGACAAGCGTTCAACACCCGACTCTTTGTTTGCGTTTTGTAAAAGGCGGAACATGCAAGCGCGAGGTATCTGCACTGAGCTTATGTGAAACAATCATGAATGTGAACAAAAAACCGCGCAACAAAACTTGATTTATCGTCATTCTTTTCGCTCAATTATCGCCTGCAGGGCGCAAAACGAAACTTCGTGAATGATTTAAAAAAACGCTTATTCTCGTGTCAATGATCAGAACCAAGGCATGTTACACCTGTCTGCTCACTTTTTGTCTGAAAAACTTCACTTATTTCACGTGCTGTCTTATTTAAAGTATTTCCCCAATATAATGAATACGCTCTTTCGGTAAAGAAGGGCTGAAGCCCTCGTAATATTCCCCTTCTTTCGTTTATCTAGCTATTGTAAACTAAGACATAGTGGTCCTGCTTTTTGTGACACTGTTTTGTTTGATATAACGCTGCGGATCACCCTCGCTTACGTCTCACTCATGTAAGAAAGATTCTGGTACTTGCAGAACCAGCCTCTTCCTTTCTGTATTCAATTGGCTACGCCACTGGTAAGAAACACCATGCCCGCCCAATGCATGAGAACAGCTGCGAAATTGATATCCGCACACAGGAAAGACGCCAGTTGAGAGTGTACATATATTTTGCAGTTTACATTGCAAAACAAAGAATGCGCTATAATCCCCACCATTGGCTCGTTGAGAACGAAGTTGTCATTCCGCAGAGGATGGTTATCCTCAACGAATGCAGAAATGTGACCTTCATATTTCGGCGTGCATACTCGGTCACTTCCGGCCCGTCTCTTTCATCATACTACATTTAATGTTACAGTAAAATTAACTTGCGGCCGAATTCACGTGACTTATTTTTTCTTTATTCCCGGCTGGCTTCACTCATCATAAATTGGAGGGGGAAAAAGGTATTGAAAAAAACAATGCGAACTAGCATCCCCCACCTTTATTTTATTCTTCTTTTACTTTCGTAACATCTACCTGTATTATGATGCGGTGACTGCCCCGCCGCGGTGGTCTAGTGGCTAAGGTACTCGGCTGCTGACCCGCAGGTCGCGGGTTCAAATCCCGGCTGCGGCGGCTGCACTTCCGATGGAGGCGGAAATGTTGTAGGCCCGTGTACTCAGATTTGGGTGCACGTTAAAGAACCCCAGGTGGTCGAAATTTCCGGAGCCCTCCACTACGGCGTCTCTCACAATCATATCGTGGTTTTGGGACGTTAAACCCCACACATCAATCAATATGATGCGGTGACTGGCGGAGCCCGTCGCAGTCACGGCGGTGGCACAGTCATATTGCGCGGATCCTGAGCTCGAGGAGTGCGAGCGACCATCAGTCAGCGCCTATTTTTGACGTAATGAGGGACCACCGCCGGGTGCACCGACTACAAGAGACGGCTGCAAGGACGGGCTGCAATCAGAGAAGGAGGAGCCGGGATACGCCGTGCAACGAGAAAAGAAGCGGCGCTGTCTGACGTCTTGCCAAGCTAAAGAAAAATAATCGCGCACAAGGCTCTATACGCGTACTCTGAGTAAACAAACGCGCGCCCGCACTGGCAGTTGGTGAGTATTTCGGGGCAGATGGTCCATGCAACAGGAGTCCGTCAGTCTCTCTGCGAACGAACGTGACCGAACGTATACGCTACAGCGGCGATGCCCTTCGCCCGCCTCGAACACCACGCGCTGCATTGTTGGTTGCGTGATGAGCATCGTTCAACGCTTTTCAAGGGATTGCTTATAAGCGAACATTTCACCGGCGGCAGTGGCGTAGTACACGAAAACCCCGGCGAGTGTACAGAAATTCGTCCCTCGAATGCTTTGTAGAGAGCTCCGAGTACGGTGCGATGTCAGCACAGGTTGAAGAACACCAGATGGTGAAAATTTTTTTTCCAGCCTATCGCTATACAGAGTTTCTCAATCATATCTTGGATTTTTGGGGATGTAAAACCCCAGATATTATTGTTACATTAAAAATGCGGCCCTCAAAAGTGCGACGGTCGCTTGTCGGCAATCAGCCGCTTCAGTTATGGCAGTGTGACCTTTTATCGAGGTCGGTTGTCATTTCACGTATACCACATTTCATTGTTGCTTGGATGTGAACGCACGACCGTCGTTATTGCCTGTACCCAAGAGCTGAAATGTCACGCTGCTAGGCATGACGCATGGGTGAAGTCCATGCGTCATGCCTAGAAGGAGTGGAGGAAAGAAGCAGTTAGGAGGGAACATTGAGCAATGCGAAAGAAAGAAATAATGAAAGAAAGAAAAAAAAATAAACAAAGAAAGAAAGAAAGAAAGAAAGAAAGAAAGAAAGAAAGAAAGAAAGAAAGAAAGAAAGAAAGAAAGAAAGAAAGTGTGATCTTTTATTGAAGTCAAGATTGATCGTCATTTCAAGTTTAACTTGTATGCTGAAATGATCTCGAAAAAGATCGCTTTTGGTATCAAAGTACAAATTTTAACAGGCTCGTTTTTTCCCAAAGCATGGAAGAACTTCACTTTATTACGTATTCATACATTTACACATTCAATACTGCATTTCCGTCTGCGGAAACCGATATACCACACATTTAACACATCTACAGCATTTACAGAACCAGGCCTTACGGATCGCCAGTTTTTCTAACTGCATGTCCCATTCAGTACTTAATATACTTCATTAAGCATACTACCATTACGCTACATGATTCAGCTCAAATTGGTTTTACTAATGCATCGCACACTTAACCATGAAATTACTGTCGGTACATTACACGCCTCTGTTCTAACTAATAGTAACAACACTAGATTTTCATCTAACAGCAATATGACCATACACCCCTTTAGTTGCAAGAGGCATACAGGATAGCATCAGTCTCCATTTGTTTCATGCGTTAAAATATGGTGTATCATTTCCGTTTTCTTGCGGGAAAGTTTACATTGGGCAGTGGGAACATGTCTTAATGATAGACTGCGATAGCACTAGCAGAAGTTGGGCCCATAACAAAATGGTCACGCGTCTGCACAATGTAGTGATTGTGGCTGTGAAGAGTTGTTAAGAGCGCACCGATGTGTATGTAGGAATACCGATAAAAATACGCGAGATATCTTTGAAGCCGCCCTGACAGCCAGATGGGGCCGGTTATAGCCGTGTCAGCTGCCCTTCAGTGGCGCTGGCTGCAAATGAATTCGCCTTTCTGGACGTGGCTGGTTTCTATTTTTCTTCGACTGATACTGTTGCTTACGACAATAAATAGTCAGTTGAAAGTTAGCGGTCGTCCCGTTGTGTTTTCCTCGTCCGTGTCTGTCAGCGATATAACACGCTTTGTTGTTACCCCGTTTCAGACTCTTTACGAGAAGCGGCCACTTTTTCGCTTCGGCCAGGCGCAGCTACATAGTGCAGAACTTGAGAAACTCTCTTTAGCTTACGCAGTGCGGCGACCGGATGATCGGCCTCTTTCTGTGCAGGTGCTATTACAGCAACGTCCACATGCCTCGACAGCCCACAAGGCAGTGAAAGCCCTGCTGTGTTTCCTGAGAAAGACAGGCTTGTGTGAACGCCTCTGACATGCGGTAGAGTTCTACACGCTGCAGTGAAATTACTGTCAGTCTCTCTTCCCCCCCCCCCTTTTTTTCTTTTCCCTATCTTCCCTCTTTCTCGTCTTTCTTGTCCCCTTCCCTAATCTCCCAGTGTAGGGTAGCCAACCGGATGTCTTTCTGGTTAACCTCCCTGCCTTCTCCCTTTTGTTGCTTCCTCCTCCTCTTTGGCTTACACTATATAAAAGTTAATCCATTGCATTGGAATCATGTGTATGACATACCCCTGTGCATATAATGCGGAGCAACAAATAAAGAACACACGTTTGCATCAAATCACCCCAAGATGTAAGTAATCTAGAGCATTCCCTCCAGGACGTGCCTCATAATCATGTCGAGGTGTGGGTATGGAAATAGCTCGACAATTTTTATTAATGTTGACTACGTGTACTATACTCCACATGCATTAGTTTTATTCGCAATTCCTACATTTTTGCAAGTCCGGAAAAGAGAACAGGAGTTTCTCTCTCGGCAATATTTCCCGCGTTTGATACGCATACATACAATACATGTGCAACTGCCTATAGTCATCAGTCTAACCCGTGAAATCCTTACGTATTCCACAAACCCGCGATGACCTGTCTACCTACACGTTTTACATATGCGCGCAAAGCAAAAATAATAACAAAAATAGGTGTGTTGCAGAATATGAGTGATCAAAGCCATTTTTTTTCTGTATCGACGCTGAAAATTGTGCATGCACGCAGTACAAGCTCGTAATAACGAACAGAGCGAATGTAGAGCCTCCATAACTCAATCGCAAAACTGATCAGTGACAGAATGCTTGTGAATCCTGCTTTTTGTTTTAAACATCACCGCCATCATATCCAAAGATCCAAGGCTTGAAAAAAAAATCTTCCCTTAACAAAAAAAAAAAAGAGAAAAGAAACGAACGAGAAAAGAACGAAAATATAAACAACTATTTGATATGTAATACTGAAACACGGGTTGGTATCAAACACGCGCATGCATGTGCGCATCGCCCAAGCGGTGAGGAAATGAAATAAAAAGTGATGGAACAAAAAGTAATTCTAACATTACTTAGTTGCAATAGTGAAATTGCGCGCTTACAATACACGCGAATAAAACCCTATCTATAATCATCTGCGAACATTTATTCAGCCCACTAGCATCTAGAAAAATAAGTAAAATGAGAAATGAACGTGCTGATCGAAAGAGAAACCGAAACCATCATTCCGTTGTCGTCTGCTACGGCGTCTCACGCAACCGCTACGGCAGCTCAGTGCCCAACCTGCGAACGAAATATGGAATAAAGTGATCCCCGTGTGCCGTCTGCTTGCTTTTTTGCTTGTTTTTTTCTTCAGCAAAGAACTTAATTGCTGAAGTTCTTTGCTTGCTCTTTCTACAGCAGCCGGACTCAAGGGTTGCGCAAAGCTTCGGTTTGGTCTGCGCGTCAAATCACGCTCAAACCGCTCACCTCCTGAAGCAGTAATCGCACACCCGGCCGGCTCCATTCAGTGGGTCCACCACGTATGCGAACGGAGTAGACGAGACGATCAGGTCTCCTGGCTTGTACGACAGCATAGCTGAGCTGTATGTCGAACTGGCAGGAGAGCGGCGTTCCCACGGACGGAATCGCCGGCAGTCTTGTCTCTCCAGAGCTCGTCGACGCCAGGCCCGCGCTTGGCAGCCGGCACCCTGCGCTTCCTACCTCTGGCGCGCCCCTACTTTCTCTCTCGCCCACCCCCCTCGCTTCCCTCAACCCGCCCGCAGCCAGCTGTGATCCAGAGCTCACAGGTTGCGCCACACTCGCGCAACCGCCGCCTAATGTTCCGCCAGACTGCGCGGCGAGAGAGTGCGTCCTTCGACAGAGGGGACGTCTTTCGCCATGTCGTTCCCAAAGTGACTTCGGACATACCTTATTCGCGGAAAATTGACGGTTAAAGCAGACGCTTATGTTTCAAACAGGCGCGTTAGACTTAACTTGACGTAAGCGGTAAAAGCACTGTGGTGGGTTGACCTGTATAAACTGCCGCGGCGGCTAACGCCCATGTTACCGTCGCCCATGGTATGCTTATACCGCACAGAGTCATCTTCAGTTGCGCAAATACAAACATTGACGCCTTACCACCGAAGCAGCGGCTATCGTGTAGCTAAGTTCTCGCTTGTCATGAAGTGAGAATTAATGAAGCATGAAGTAGGACGGGTTTGTGGGGAAACAATCTCATCATCATCATCATCATCATGACTACGTCCACTGCAGGACAAAGGCCTCTCCCATGTTCCGCCAGTTAACCCGGTCCTGTGCTTGCTGCTGCCAATATATACCCGCAAACTTCTTAATCTCATCTGCCCACCTAACCTTCTGTCTCCCCCTAACCCGCTTCCCTTCTCTGGGAATCCAGTTAGTTACCCTTAATGACCAGCGGTTATCCTGTCTACGCGCTACAAGCTCAGCCCGTGTCCATTTCCTCTTCTTTATTTCAACAATGATATCCTCAACCCCCGTTTGTCCCCTAATCCACTCTGCTCTCTTCTAGTCTCTTAAGGTTACACCTACCATTTTTCTTTCCATTTCTCGCTGCGTCGTCCTCAATTTAAGCTTGTTAAGCTTGTTAAAAATGTTTGTTAACGTTATCTTCCTGCCAGTTAATGGACTCCCCCACCCCCTCGCGAATACTGGGTGTATATATATGTATACGGCACATATTATTTTCTATTGGACTTGAATAACCAATAGTTCTCCAGTGATATAATGTACGATGTAGTGTATATATTGTAGTTATATACGCTGAATGTATAATAAACTAACCGTCAACAAAAAGGTAAGTGTAATCCCTTCAGATAAAGCTAGAGGGCACAGGCGTAAGTCAATGCTTTTACGAGCGCTCGGGTGGTCTCAGTCGATTGCTTTGTTACTCCTTATTACAGATTATATATATATATATATATATATATATATATATGTGTGTGTGTGTGTGTGTGTGTGTGTGTGTGTGTGTGACCCAGATTAACGAGCCAATATGACCACTACACCCAATTATGAGAGACGCCGTAGTGGAGGGCTCCGGAAATTTCGACCACATTGGGTTCTTTACCGTGCGCGCAATTCTGAGCACACTGGCCTACAACATTTCCGCCTCCATCTCGCGACCTGCGGGTCAGCAGCCGAGTGTCTTAGCCACTATACCACCGCAGCGGGGCCACTATACACTCAATTTAACGAAGCTGTTACCGAAATAGAGAAAAAGCGTCGATTCAAGGCTAATTCAAGTTCACCGAAACGGGTCTTTCTTCGAGCGTGCGCTCTAATGCCGTCGTGGCAAAACATCTATATAGGCGTCCAAGTCACGGCCCTTTAGTTGCTTAGCATTGATGACACTGCAAGTCGCGTCCATGCAAGAAGTAACGGGCTCAGCGTATAGCACTTTAATGTATGGTGTACTATAAAATTAGTTGGTTGTTGGTTTGGTCATTTCATGGTTTATGCGGCAAGTATAGAACTGACCGTCTTCCCTTTTTCTCGTTCAGCCTGCTCGCCCAGTCAGTGCATTCGTTTTTTTTAAATGCAATAGCAATTAAATGGACACTCTCGACGCTAATTTTTGCCATATATATATATATATATATATATATATATATATATATATATATATATATATATATATATATATATATTGTGACGTCGAAGACCGAAACTGGCACTCTGGCACAGACGCGCATGCTAGGGCAGAGCGAGGAAGAAGCAGAATAAGAACAGCTGGCCCAGGATGGGGTGTTGTGTCTTGTTCTCTGTCTTGCTCATCACAATATATATATATATATATATATATATATATATATATATATATATATATATATATATATATATATATATATATATATATATATGTGTGTGTGTGTGTGTGTGTGTGTGTGTGTGTGTAAATTTAATCAGAAAAAATTCCCAAGGCACCCTTCCGGGGATTCGAATCAACGACCCCTCGCTCCTCAGCGCACTGCTGCGTTAACCGAAGATAGACCGCGTCACTCATATGCTATTCATCTCACCAACAGCGAGCTATATATATACACCATTTACCGCTGGCTTACTGTCAATAGACTTGGTAAAAACATTATTGAGCAAAGCTTGTATGTCTCGCTAGTAGTTACGCAGCACGAAAAATAAGACAGCTAGTTCCGCAATAGTTCTCGCCGAAAGGCCCATCCCCCGTGTTGGTTGGAGCCATATATCAAGGAACAAGCAAGCACGCAAGCTCTTCCCACAATCCAGCTGTTTCCGGCATCAACGCTCACACTGTAATGTCTGGGACAATCCGAGGTGGACGTTTTGGAGAAGTGCATTGGAAAACCCCGCCCCGGCGGTCTTGTGGCTGAGGTACTCGGCTGCTGACCCGCAGGTCACGGGATCGAATCCCGACTGCAGTGGCTGCATTTTTGATGGAAGCGGAAGTGCTGTAGTCCCGTGTGCTCAGATGTGGGTGCGCGTTAAAGAACCTCAGGTGGTCGAAATTTCCGTAGCCCTCCACTACGGCGTCTCTCATGATCATGTGGTTGCTTTGAAACGTTATACCCCGCATATCAATCAATCAGTCAATCAATCAAGTGCATTCGAACTGTATTTCTTGCTACCGTCACCGGTGTCGTCGACAGCGAGACATCTATAGGAAGAACGTGCTGCTACTTGTGCGAGAAACACTGCAGTTCAGCGCACATTTGAGCTTGATCACTGAATTTTCTAAATCACCTAAATCTCCTATAGGCCTACAGCGTATAAGGGTCCAATGTGTTGCTATCGCATTCATTGCTTCGGCCTTGTGCCGAAACTGTGACTTTTTTTTTTTCATGTCATCGAATATTTATAGCCGGCCATAGCTTCACGCGATGCCTGCATGATGTTCTATATATCTGGGCCGCCCTCGAGCCGCAGGCCTTCGAGAACTTTTCAGGCGTGAATGGTGTGGGTTCCTGGCAAGAACAATGCTGTAGTATCTTTGGGCGTCGCTACGCGACAATTTTATATTTGGAAAGGCCGAAAAACATATTTCTCGTGTTTACAATATTCCCGATTTTAAACAATCATATGAGCATAGTTATATCTAGTTTCAACTGCTGTTTTTCTTTTTTGGTCGCCTAGACATGACCTCTGATTTCACATAATAGAGCGGTTGACTGGGCTAGTTGGTATGGCATACTTGGGTTTTAGCAGCGCGAAAAATGCACAAAAGACAAGAAAGGAACGAGACAAGCACTGACTTCCAACTGAAATTTTATTGACGAGAAGACCGTTAATATGCAATGGAGCACAAAGAGTGAAAAAATGACGTATTTTAAGATACAAAATATCAACTAACGCCATGCCTGCTGCGCCTACCCTCGCACCTCAAGAAACATATCTCTTTATCTGAAAGAGCAACTGAAGGCTTGCTTACGCATGCGCCGCTTTCAAGCTCCATTTGAGCAGCCTCATAAATTATACGCACGTTTTCCTCTTTAATCTTGCAAAGAACTGTTGTTTTTTCAAACAGCGGAGTGCACCCACACGTGCTCACGTGTTGCGCTAAGAAGCCATCTTTTCCGCCACGAACATTATTGGCATGTTCCCGTAAGCGATCGTTAAGGCATCTGCCCGTCTGGCCCACATAACATGCACCGCAAGAAAAAGGGGTCCTGTAAACGACGCCTAACGCGCAGTCCACAAACTGCGTTCTGTGCCTCACCATACACCGTTTTCTCATACTCTTTACGGGGCAGGTCCTGTTTGTCAACTGGGACAACTTATCAGGGGCACTGAAGACCACTTTCACATTGAGGCGCTGTCCTATTTTCTTTAGGCGGTGTGACACAGAATGCATGTACGGAATAACCGCTACCTTTTCCCTCTTCTCCGCTGTGGTGCCATCACTGTTGCAAACAGTGCCCAATCGTTTCCTTTTTCTGTGCATTGCCTCCGCCACGGAAATGAGCAAAGTGCGAGGGTACCCTTCTCTTTCTAGGCGCTCCGACTGTGCCAAGAGACTAGCTTCTAAGACGTGGTGACACGACCTCTCTAAGGCATTGTGAAAACATGATTGAACAATGCCTCTCTTTACTAATTGCTATGCGCAGACGAGAACGGAAGAACAGGCTTCTGCGAGCGAGGCTCGTAACACCAGCACGTGTGGTTCTCCGAAAAAGAAATCTTTAGGTCAAGAAAGCGGATGCTATCCCTTTCCGGCATCTCGTGCGTCACCACGAGTGGATAGAGGCATTCGCGAAAGATTTGCAACACCTGCATGACCTTGGAATGAAAGGTCTCTAAATCACACCTCAAAATTAACAGATAATCATCCACATACCGAAAGGTCTCCACATACCAAAATGTGATTTCACATTTTGATTCGGTCGTCACCAAGGGGCTAATTCCCAATTGATTCCCCTTTATTTCACTTAAGAATCTGTTTTTCCTTACTTTTACTACATTTGTTAACGTTAATTCACATTTTATTCGCTTTTAACTAACTTCACTTACCATGTGATTCATCATTACATGCACTATTTATCCCTTGCGATCACTTGGGTCACAAGTAGCGCCAAGACTGAAGGAAGTGCGTAGCCGGGCAGCCTGCGCTGCGTTCGTTCTTCCTTTTATTTTTCTCTGTCTTTTTTTTTCTATCTCATTTTTGTCTCTCTTTATTTATCATTCTGTAC